AAATTTTTAAATTATTTTTTTTTTTTTTTTTTTTTTGCTTAATCAATACAGATGCATTGAATCAAAACAGAAAATGTAGTTATTCAGTCTGGTGTCAATAGACAATCAGATTTAAAGAGGTGAATTTTGGGATACAGAAGACTGAAAGATTAAAAACCCATTCTCTCATGTACCAAACGTATTTGGATCAATGCTCAAGGCTTATATGAAATCTCATGCCCAGTAGGAATATTGCCTGTTGGTTCAAAATGAATCTGTTGGTAATGCTGATCAACCATCTGCAAAATACAAGTGCACTGAGATTGCATGCCAGCCCAGACCGATCTGAAACCCAAAATCAAAGAGTAAGCATCACATTCTTTGGATGCAATAATATTTTTCAGAGCAGATGAGAACACGCATGACAAAACACAACTGATCCAGAAATATAAAATGACTTTTAGTGGTACATCTTTTGCAAAGTATGGCATTTTGGTCATGCAATTTATCTTGCTCAACCCAAATCACTTTTGATTCATTGCACACTTGCTAAATGTAAAATAAAAAAAAATTATAAAATAAAATAATTCATTTAAAATTTTATATTTATATAAAATTAATATATATATATATAAATTGCAACGGTAAATACTGAAAGTTTATTTACAGACATCTCTACTTCTCTAAGACACTTCATAATTCTCTTTAACCATAATGGCTTGTTTGTGGTAGACAGAGTAAGCTTGTTGACAGAGAGGCTTTATTCTACTCTTATCATTGGACGCACAGTAAACATTCTCCCTGTCTCCAATTGGACCGTTTCCTGGCCACAGAGCTGAAACAGCGGCCTAGAGCTCCGCTATCTGATTGGAGCAACCGGCCATCTCATTGTCACAATCATACCTTATCATCCTTTATTTCCCCTAGTGTTCTGGCAGCCTGATAGAATTATTGTGCCTAACAATTGCATAATTTGCATGCCACGATGACAGACGCATTCACTAAAAACCGGACGGTCGAGTGCGAGTTGCATTTATTTTTCAGCTCTTGGCGTTTTTTTCCTCATTCCCTCATTCATAAAACACTCAGGTCCGCTTCCTCCAAGTATTCCATGGTGGACACAGGAGGGTCGGATTGAATTCTTCCAGATAATTGTGTCAGATAGGTAGCCTAAAAGCGTCTTTCACAAGCGATCAGATAAACACCCAATTACCAGCGGTGAGATGCCACTGTCGGCGGGGCAGAGGAGGTGCGTTGCACCAAGATGGCCTCCTCACCTCACACTCTGCACCAATGAGTTTAGGCAGAGGAGACAGCTAAGAGTAATTATTCAATTCTGTTGATTAATGAATACAACCATTGAAGATAATGGAAGATTAATGTGTAGGACCTCCTCTTTCCAAATTACATGCACATGGATCGGGCCAATCAGCAACTAACAGACCTGAGCCTACAAAAATCTGTTTTCTATCCTTTTCTCCAGTTTATCTTTGCAAACACATACTTATTTATGAGCAAGAAATGTATGTACATGTATGCAAATGTGAAAAGTAGAGGTAAATTCTAAAACGTTTCAGAAAGATGCAGTGTCAAATTCCAGCCTGAATGAGTCATCCATCTGTCATCTGGATAACAGATCACTATGGATCAACATTTAAAGGAAGAGTTCGCCAAAATATAAATAAATAAAAATAAATAAAATAAAATAAAATAAAAATACATAATAATATTTTTATTATTATATAAAATGTATCATATAATACTGTGTAATAGGATATTCTGGATATAACATATTATAATATATGATAAATAATTTTTAATAATTTTAAATCCAAATTAAATTTAAACATAACTTAAAATATGTTAACAACTAGTCCATATGAAAGTTAATTTGTTGAGACTGTAATAAAATACTGTAATAAAGACTGTAATCTAATGAGATATTAACAACAATAAACAATTATTTTAAATTTATAACTTGAAATATGTTAACTAGTCCATATGAAAGTTATTTAAAGGGGTCATATGATGCGATTTCAAATTTTAATTTCTCTTTGAAGTGTTACAAGCTCTTGGTGCATAAAGAAGATCTGTAAAGTTGCAAAGACTAAAGTCTCAAATCCAAAGAGATTTTATTCTTTATAAAAGTTAAGAGTCAATCACGCCTACCTAAAACTGCTCGTTCTAACACGCCCCCACATGTCTACATCACGATGTGGGAAGATTTGCATAACACTGCCCGAATGTTCACGCAAAGAAAGAAGGCGTAACTTTTATTCTCGCTGTAGTATTGTTGTTGCCGCCACCGCCATGTCCAGCCCGGGGTCGTCACATGTTGTTGCCGCAAGCCCGCCGGACGCTCCTTCGTCGAATTGGCCGGCCGCGCCGTTCTTAAGCCCGCCCGCCTCTGCTCACGTTTAAAGTTAAAATACATTAAGTTAAATTTAATTTTACATATAAAATTTAATTCTAAAAGATAAAATGTAAAAGGTAATATAAAAATAATAAAATGTACTAGAAAGTTAAATTAAGATTATAAATAATGTAATGAGACATTTTAATAAATAATAATAATAAATTATAATATTAATAATAATTTCATTTAAATGCAATTATATAACTTAAAATGTATTTAAAGTACAGTAAAAATATATTTTAAGTTATATATGTAAAATGAAATGATAAATGGCAAAACATAAAAGGTTACATAAAAATATAAAAAGTCCTTGAAAGTTAACTTAAGATTATAAAGAAATAAATGCAATGAGATAATTTAATAAATAATATATTTTTTTTATTTACATGGTGAAAAAAAGTAATCTAACAACGTCGTTTGCACTCATCTTTTTAAGTGGGAGAACTTGCACAATTGGTGGCTGACTAAATACTTTTTTTCCCCACTGTATATATATATATATATATGTAAATTGTCCAGGGTTTAAGTGGAAATGATTTAGTGATTGTGGTAATTGAACATTGGCTAATGAATGATGACGTCAATATAATTAGTGATTTGAAAAGTGGGTGGAGGGATTGAATTGCTTTACACACTGACGAAGGCTTTGAGCCGAAACGTTTGTGTCTTTTCCCATCAGTAATGAATGTAAAATAAAAGAAAAAAGAAGATTGTTCTCGTGAGTGCGGATCATAATTTCCTATACTGAAAAAAAGTAATCTTCCATGAACCTTTAATTTAACACTTAATTTAGGTGTGCAAAATGGAGCTCTTGTCTCTTAATGATGACAACCCTGTCTCGACATTATATCGGTCATCTTGCTGTCTAAATGTTGGAATTGCCCATTAAAAAAATCCTTATCTGTCACTCACTAGTCCACAACCAGGTCCAAACCTCACCGACTCACTGTAAAACTCTGTACTCGAATGGCAAAAACAAAGAAAGGTACAACAAGAAAGAGATGAAGACATTTCAGTTTTGAAAAATGCACAACAAGTGCTTTCTGAGGGAAAATGCAGCTCTTTTGGTGTTCCCATCTCTTGTTCTTCTGCTTCTGGAGTTTCTTTGTCGTGGTGGGTGACGTGAACAAAGTCAGCAGCCACCCCGACCCCTCATGTACTGTTTTGAGGTTTGGCAGACACCGACTAAACTGTCATTTCCTTTACACACTGCTTTCATTTCCAACATGACATGACACCATTTCCACATGAATAGGTCTCCTCACATCTCACGAGGGGCGTCTGGCGTGTTAAAGGTGGAGGCATAGAGCAGGTAAATTATTGCAGGAAAGTGTTCAGAGGGCTCTGAGAAATCAAATGCACTTCAAATTACCTCTGACAACACCCACTGTTCCTTTCAGCTTAATCTCTCGCCTTTCATCTTCCAATTTCTACCCTTGGAGCTCCTTGTAACTTCAGCCCAGGGAGCCAGATGCTACGAAAGCTGGGGAGGGGAAGGAAAGAGAGAACAAAGCAGATGAATAACACAGTGGTCTGCGATTGTTAAAAATCAAATCATTCTTCATTTACGTTATGGTCCAAATGGTTAGGAAACAGATATGCACAATATCACTATCATTATCTTTGCCCAGCGCTGGCTTTTCCCCATGGACTGCCGTTCTTATTGGGAAGGTGGCTAGTGGTTCAATTAGCCTGACCGAGACGTTTTTGAGGGAATAATGCAATGCACCAACAGGAGTGTGCAATGCAAGCCATAAGGAGCAGAGCATTCTATAGTGGCACGCTTACGTATTAATTCCTTGTTCATGCTTTAGAGCTACACTGTGCACTATCTGGAAAACGCAGATGCCGTCCCCCGGGACTACAGCCAGGATAGTGAGTAAACACATATTCGCCTATTGTTCATGATTTCCAGGCATTTCAGTAAAACCTCCAGCACTGCATTTCCACTGGCCGTGCCTCCTCCCTGTTCATTAATTTGAAAGCAGGCTGTTTAGATTGGGCACCAGTTAATCACATATAGGAGCCATGGCCTGGAGGCAAACACAAATACTTCAACATAAGCAGGTCTGGACACTTTAATTGAGAATGCCTTTAATATTACTGAACTTGAATTGAGCTATTCAAGATAAACAACTGGAGGTAATTTAAAGGCAAATCTGTCATTTCTGTACCACCAGCATCACCAAACAGAATTGATGATTGATCAGCCAAACAGATAGACAAAGCCCAAAATCACAGCACACTTTTCCATGACATTCTAATTTATTGAGATGCACCTGTAAATGTTGCTGTGTCAACCTGGTCAGGATGTTCAAATAAAAATAATTAAAACTAAAACAATTTAAATTAAACATTAATAAAATTAAAACAATGGAAAAACCCTTAAGATAACCTGTAGAAAGAAAAGGACATATCTTAAGCATGCAGAATAACTTAAGTGGACTTTGAATGATTAAGTGCCACTAGATAATTATAAACATATATCCAGTATAAATATGTGACCCTGGAGCACAAAAGCAGTCTTAAGTCGCTGGGGTATATTTGTAGCAATAGCCAAAAATACATTGTATGGGTCAAAATTATCGATTTTTCTTTTATGCCAAAAATCATTAGGATATTAAGTAAAGATCATGTTCCATAAAGATATTTTCTAAATTTCCTACTGCGAATATATCAAAACTTAATTTTTGATTAGTAATATATTCATTGCTAAGAACTTAATTTGGACAACTTTAAAGGCGATTTTCTCAGTATTTTGATTTTTTTGCACCCTCAGATTCCAGATTTTCAAATAGTTGTATCTCGGCCAAATATTGTCGTATCCTAACAAACCATACATCAATGGAAAGCTTATTTATTCAGGTGATGTATAAATCTCAATTTCGAAAAATTTACCCTTATGACTGATTTTGTGGTCCAGGGTCACATATATACATATATACATTACAAACATATATTTACACAGAAGTTTTCATTTTCATTAATATTAAATATAAATCAAATCAATTATTTTACTTAAAAAAAAAACAGAGTGGAAAAACCAGAATGCTTTCCCAGAATGCTCTAATTTTCCTCAAAATTGAGAAAGAAAAAAGTGAATTATTAAAAAGACGGTTTTAAATCATTTTGGATTTAAATGGAGTAAATTCCTCTTGGAAAGTCAAAATCTTGTTGTTCTGGCCAATTCAATTTCAAGACACATTCCTAAATTGACACTGAGTAGGCTAAATTCTTAATTTTGCCCAAACCTGAAACAAGCAACATGGGTCATTTACAATGTATTGTTTCCCATCCACTCTCAACAATACTTTAACATATTGTTTTTAATGTATTTAATCAGTAAAGTCTGTAACATGTGTTTGAAAAATGCTCTAACTAACAGTGGTACGACGCAGTAAAACTCAAACAATATGCTGGCATTCAATTTCCATGCACACTCTCCAGCAAGCCCTCTGAGTAAATATCAAACTGTTCGAACAAACACAATTTCATGCTCAGACATTCAGCCTTTCGATTATTGTAATCCTCTATCAGCATGTGAGGCCAGTGAAGCTCGCGCAGCAGCGTGCGGCTCGCAGAGCATGGAGATGAGTTTGGAGGCGGGGGGGAGAAGCTTCTGTGCTAGAGCTGCTGAATCATGTGCCACAACTAGTCTTCTGGCAAAATTGCCCCTCAAAAAGCTGTTGAATAGACGAATTCGGATAGCAGGCTTCATTACATACTACTGTACAAACACGCCATTGGTATCCATTGTGTGAACGCAGTCAAGTGAGCAAGCAATGGAAAAGGAAAGAACGAGGCTTTGCCGCAGACGTGAGGACAATCTCCTTAAGTGACTGCTCAGCTGTTTTGCAGAGTCAATGTCATGTTTGTTATGGATGGCGCCGTTCGGCTTTCTCCACGCAGCTCCGTCCTCATAAAGATGACGGACAGGGTTTAAACGCCCTGTGTTTACAGTGCATTAATATTTCTGCCACTTCATTACAATAAAAGGATTAACCTGCAGCTTCGCTTTGCAGGAACGCCACACCGCCTCTTCCTCTCAGTGTATATTAGCTCCTGTCGGCCAGCAGGAGAGCACACACTAATCATGATGTGCTTGCACATGCTATGCGGGCACACGCACACTCATTCTCATTCTCAAGCACCCATTTCTCACACTCTCGCAGGACTGTGCAGAGAAAGATGGAAGAAGGGAAATGCACTATGAATCTTGAGTGCAACCTAACATGGTGACAGGCCTTTGCTTACAAAACCAAGGTCGGAGATGTCAACCTGGCTCAGAGAGTTTTAACTTGGGTTATTCTCAGTGTTTTTGCTAAGGCAAGCATCTACTTTGTTTGTACTTTGAACAAATCCCTAACACTTTGGCATGTTACTAGGCACTGAGGACATGAATTGTGCATTTTGTTCAGAGAAGGTGTGCTATTACTTTTCCAAGGGATGAGACTTACGACTTTTAAAGTCATAAAGATCATTGCACACTGAGTCCGAAAATTTCGTCTGAAATTTTCGCACGTTAAAAAATAAATACGACCTCACGTTATGTCAAACACGTTTACACACTGCCTCCGAAATATTCGTCCGTCATAAAAAAAATTCGGATCGGGTTCGATTTTTTCCGTTTTTTGCATCCGTAGCAAGCATTTTGAGAGGTGTTTTGACAGTTCAGAGCCACCGAACGCCAAAATCCAGAATGGCGATTCTCAAGTTCATCCACTTCACCTCACAGCACAAAGCACTGTATATAGATCCTTGCACACTGAGTTCACAGAAATTGGTGGTCTTCTTTTTAATATGTGGCTCTAGTATCGCTAGCAAAGGCATCAAACTGAGCCACTGACATCCTGAAGTAAACTTTGAATCGCCCGTGATAATCCCGCTGCTCCTTAATAAGGGGGGGGAACTCTCCTTCCTCTCTATCTCAGGATTGGATGGACCCAATATTTCCTTTCTTTTTTTCTTTTTTTAAGAAGCAAGAGGACAACAAAATCATCCTCACTGCTTGAAGACTCCATTTAGTGCTGTTTTGCGAATTTTTTCACAACGGATTAATACGCATCGGACTCAGTGTGCAAGGTTTCTGTGCGTGACAAATTTCTTGAATTTCGAATACGAAAAAACGCATACGAAAATTTCGGACTCAGTGTGCAGAGACCTTAACACCAAACCAACCAAAAAACAATTTATATCTAAAATATATCTTGCATATATATCTTATATATGTAATTTACCCAGTTTTAACAATATTTTACAAGAGTCAAAACTTAAAAAAAAAACAATTTTAAACAGTCACTTAAGGTAAATTTTTTGAATAAATAAATACTGTTGAATATAATCTTCAGAAAATCTCAAAATGTCAATTTTTCATACTGTACATATTTTATGCTGTGATGTTCAAGCTACAGGTGTCTAAATATATTTGTAGCATTTAAAATGAGCTTTAATTTATTAAACTTTAATACCATTTTGTATAAATATCAGGCGTTAATAGTTAATCTGCCATTTTAAAAAAATCTCCTTTTTGCAGTTTTCTTTGCTGTTTATATATATATATCTTTCAGTGTAAGAGCACATATGCAAATATTTATTCTTTATTTATGTACCTTATCTTAGTTTTGTAAAATGTTGTTTGAAAAAATGAACAGAAAAGCAATTATGAATTTGAAAATATCCGAGGAACTATAAATTATGTGACTTTTCCAAACAAACAAAAAAAGTGAATCCAGCATAGCATTAAAACACTTATTAGCTTATCAGTATCAGCCAAACCTTTAATATCATTGCATCTCTAATTTATTTTACAGTGAGATAGGGGACATGTGATGAAAACATGACACAGAATGGATTCAAACCTGATTCAACAGCTCTTATATGTCACAAGCATGTACACTACCCACTGCAGCACAGATCCAACAACATTATTAAACTTTATTTCACTCCACAATCTTCAGAGATGGAAATATGAGTCACAAGCTGTTAGCATCCCTATTTGTGTTTACCGAAATCGATTATGAACCGGATAAACCACCAACCTCTTCATATATATGCACAACATCATTTATTCAAAAGATTTGTTAAGCCTGGGTAACAAGACACGCTAGGTATCCCTGGTGGAAACGTTTGGGGAAATTACGTTTAAGACGTGACGGTGTCTGTGCATGCAAGCCTCTTATTAGAAGCTGCAGGCCGAGCCAAAATTACGATTAATTTTCTGCAAAAGCAACAGAGCATTCCTGGCCAACAAGGAGGCAGACAGGCCCAGTCACCGAAGGGACCAACCGTAGTTATCAGTCATTTGGTCTGCAGGATTCGAGGAGAAATTAAAAGCTGATTATATCCTGCGGGGAGAAGAGGAAGACCATGGGCCCCCCCCCTGGTCTGCAAGCTAAATTTGATTAATTAGTCCCAACTGTTTGCCAAGAAGGAGGAGGGGGGAATCATGACAGAATTAAGAGCTGTCCTCCATCA